ATAACTCAATAATGGTTAAAGTGACACTACCCATATTCAACTTGATCTGTGTTTTATCATTGGCAGTCAAAATTAAACTTTGCATTGTATAAAGCATTGATTGTAGTTGATTTAACTATAATAATGGACAAAGGAAGATAACTCCAATTTAAAAAATTACTTGATATTTAGCATGTTTAGAAGAAACTAAAAATTTTGCAATTTTTCCATTTATAAAGGGGCATAACCTAGAACGGTTAAAGTGACGCCACCAAAATTCAAACTTGATCTGTGTTTTGTGGTAACATGCATTGTGTATAAGTTTCATAACATTTGGTTGAGGCAAACTTAAGTTAGAGAATGGAAACTAAAAATTTTGCAATTTTTCCATTTATAAAGGGGCATAACTCTAGAACGGTTAATGTGACGCCACCAAAATTCAAACTTGATCTGTGTTTTGTGGTAATGAGCATTGTTTATAAGTTTCATAACATTTGGATGAGGCAAACTTAAGTTAGAGAACGGAAACTAAAAATTTTGCAATTTTTCCATTTATAAAGGGGCATAACTCTAGAACGGTAAAAGTGACGCCACCAAAATTCAAACTTGATCTGTGTTATGTGGTAATAAGCATTGTGTATAAGTTTCATAACATTTGGTTGAGGCAAACTCAAGTCAGAGAACGGAAACCAATTTTGGGACGTACGGACGTACGTACGTACAGACGGACAAGGGTAAACTTAATGCCCCCACCGCTACGGCGGGGGCATAAAAAAAATAAAATAGCCTTGCCAAGCCGCCCTTGCTGGACGTCATAATTATTTGGACTACCAAAAGATGTAACCTAATTCTTACTTGTTTGGGGAAGAGGGGATTAACCGAACCACTATTCAATCTAAATCAGTGAACTGAATTGTTGTCTTTTGCAGTAGTCCGAGTCGACATCTGTAACTAAGCATGCAAATTGGTAGTCAACAGTATGCCTTTTTTCAGAATGTCAGCTTACAACAAAGAGTCACTGGTGATAGGGGAGTGTAACCGATAAATTGATCCTGAATCAGATAAGATTTTCCCAGTAACGGAGAACCCCTTTCTTTGAGTGAATATAAATAGTGACGGGGGTCACACAAATAAATTTAAATCTGAATTACAGGAACATCGATTAGCAAAGTAAACTTACATATTAATCTCAAAGTTATTTACGGTAAAGACAGACTGTGCTCCTGAATTAAGGTATTATACATTTGTGTATTTTACTCGGGGGGGGGGGGGGGGGGGGGACACTTCCTATATACAAGGTGATAGGACGTGCCGCTGGAATAGGTCGAAAAGTCGAAAGTCTCGCCGTAAGTAAACATTACATACAGAATCTTAGCCTTAAATATTCCACTTTTCCAACACACCCCACGAAAACCAACCAATATGGGAAAAGGTTACAATTTTAAGATCGAAATTATATGAATAGGGTGGGGTAACAGAACCCCAGCGACACCCCCTATCAATTAAGTAATAAAAGTATATAGAAAAAAATTCTTAGACAAGTGCCTTTGATTTATCTGTCAGTCCCAGAATAATAAATATAATTGTATCTTAATCTTTGGAAAAATCCGATTATTAAATTGTTCGATTCTTTTTCTTCATAATTATGTCAAAGTATACTTTTTAAAGTTTTAAATTTTAAAGTTAAAATGAATATTCCGTTTTGATCTGAGGAAAACTTTTTAAACTGTAATGACATGGTCAGTCAACTGATTTGTTGCATGGCTGATTACAGGTAATAAAAGCATGCAGTAATTTTCCATTACGACAGTGCGTACATACCCTGGGGTGTGTATAACGTATTAGAAATACCATAGTTTTCTAGAGAACATCCTGTCTATGTGTAATACAGATTGATGACATTACACAAAATTTCTTTCGTTAAATGTAGTTAAGTATCTATGTCCATTCCCTATTGCAACACTACAATTTTTTCGAAGAAAAAAATGTTAAAATTAAAAAAAAAATCATTTATATAAAATAAAGAAGAAAAAAGTAGCAAATAAACTTATGTAACTACGCATTGAGTAAACATAATTTCACTTTATATGTACAAACCCTTGAAAAAACGTATATATAGATGTGTTTAAAAAGGCCAATTCCCAGTGGATTTATTTCACACTAGGACCACAGGCACTTGTCTCAGAATTTTGTTTCCTATATACCTTAATGCAGGGACTTTCTATACTAACTTAGTATAGAAAGTCCCTGCTTAATATAATATTAAAAGTATATAGGAAATTTTTTTCTGAGACAAGTGCCTGTGACTAGGAACTAAGATAACTAGAACTAAGTTCATTGGAAAGTCTTTTTGTCTGATACATGTATACCTATAGATAATGTACATAATTAAGAACAGCTTCAAATATATGCCTATAAAATTAACGGTACGTCTAAAAACCGCTCAGGACCCGGTACGTCTAAACACTGCTAAGGAGTCCTTAGTGCACTAAGGACGTATACTATGCCACTAAGGACTAGATGGGGTGCTGTTACATGTATTATTTTTCCATATTAAGTTTGAGATTGATATTTAATGCATAAATTAAAAATTTTATAGAAAAATAATCACAAATAAACGAGTTATTAAGCATTGTTTAAGCACGTGCCCATTTTTCTTTGATATGCCAAAAATCAGTGAACCGATTGACACGTGCCATATAACATAACAACTGAATAAACAATCATAATCTTTTTATTTTAAGTAATTAACAATTGTATCGAATAGATTAATGCTTAATAATTTATAATTGAATATGTTGTTCTTATTTGCAATGATTAAAAGGACAAATAATTTTATTTATTTTTTATTTCTTTCTCGACAAAGTTATTTGCCATTTGTGCACGACTTTGATGTGCGCCAACTAATAAGTTAAGAGTGTGATCAGCTTGTTAAATGTTTATGTAAGAGCATGGAAGTAATATTTAGAGATACCAAGACAAAAGGAATAGATATATTTATAAGTTTTTTCTTTTAATTTTAATTCCGACAAAGATGCGTGTTTCTTTAAAATTTATGAGTAAATTCTGAAAAAAATATCAAAACCTGGTGTTTGCTTTTCCACTTTCTATTACTGCTTCATACTTAGTACGAATTACGATTGAATTGAAAAAAAAATCATGTGACGTCCTTGGGGTTATTCAAAACCACTAGTTTTCAACCAGTTTGATAGGTGTTTACAAAGGCTTCATACCGTATTTATTTTTTTTTGTAATTGTTCGACATTAGTTTTTTTCTCAAAGTATAAGAAGTTTTTAAAAATATCATTATCGAACTTTGGGGTGCGTCTAAACACTGCTAAGGAGTCCTTAGTGCACTAAGGAGTTATGATATGCCACTAAGGACTAGATGGGGTGCTAACTCATTTATTTGTGATTATTTTTCTATAAAACTTGAAATTTATGCATTAAATATCAATATCTACAATAATATGAAAAGACATTACATGTAATAGCACCCCATCTAGTCCTTAGTGGCATATCATAACTCCTTAGTGCACTAAGGACTCCTTAGCAGTGTTTAGACGCACCCCTCAGGACCTCCTAAGTGCAGACAGGACATAAAAAGTCACTCAGGACATGTATATATGTTTTAGTGAGCGTTGAGGGTATACATTCGATAGATAATTTAATATTTGATCTTTTAATTTTGGTTTTGATAAAATAAAACCAACATTAAAGAAGTTATTTGGGATACGTCATGCATGACCGATGATCATATTCAATACCAATCATCATTTTGATTAGGACGTTTGATCTTTAATAATTAGGACTGATTGGTGATGGTTATAAACACATACAAGTAAACTTTGCAAACAAACAAAAAAAAAACGTTTCCTTAGAAAAATTATAAAAATACATGAATATTGTTTTTACAAAAAAAGTTAAATAAATTTTTCGTTTTGTATGTAATAATTGAAGCCATTTAGAAATATAAAAAATCTTCACATAGTCGGGAAATTTTCAATTCAAGTTATTTCATTTGAATACGTTAACAAATATAGATCTTATTCGATGTAAAATGTGGCGTCCTTGGAGATCAAAATCCCGTTTAAATAGGGTTTGTCTACTTTCGTCTATTGCCGAACATTCTATAATCAAGGATTTTTACAAATCCTTGCTATACTATATAATGAATCGCGTCGCCAATATCACCACAATTACATAAAGTACAAATACAATCTTCTCCTAAATATTTGGTATCTAACAATTCCAATAGGAAATTTTGAGTCGAAACTGAAGTACCAAATCTACAAAAAGAATCAGAATTTTTTGTAGTAGTAGGCGTCGAAAACTAAACTGTTTATAATCTTTTTTTTCTCCTAAATTAATTGAAACTCCTGAACTAATTTAACATTATCTATAGACAACTTACATATGCAAATCTTTTTAGAAGTATGTGAGTGTATAGTAATAATTTGTTCATTAACCCCCCTTTTTCCTTCTAACATATTACATTGTAATCGATTTTATTTCCAAATTTGTGTTTGCTAGGATTGACACTTAGAACGTACAACAAAAAGTAACAAGTAAAAAGTCACGATTCAGTTTTAGGATATCTTTTTCTTTGAATAAACTTAATTTTAAAAACGTTTCAGTATTTTTCTGAAACATTGTTAAAAGGAAACGGACTTGTAAACAAAATTTATTTTTGAATATTAATATTGAATAATGATTTTTAAGGAAACAATCTGCCAAAGTGGTTTGGTAATTAACTGGCTTCATGCTGTCAAAAATGTCTCCTTTTTATAAGTTATTGATAAAAAAAAACTATTTGAAGGCGAATTAATCATTTCCTCAACTAAATACATTTATCTATAAATAAAGTCAATTCGTCCAGAACTTTCTCTCATATATTTAAACAATTGTAAAATAATTAATTTAAACTTTTGTACTGCGACTTTCTGTCCTTTTACCAATACTTATTCCTTGTTAAGTTTTTTCATATCCATTTACGAATACTTTTAATTTGATAATTAATTTTTCCGGATGCTTTTTATCCTATTTTCTTATCAAACAACCATTTTACCCGTAGAACGGAGTTAAGTACAAATTTAGGAATTTAGTACTTTAAATTTTCAACAACAAAATTTTACACTTTCATTTACCTGGATTTTTTTCTACGCTTCGAAGCCGCCTGAATCAAACTTAGCCAACACCTCGCATGGCGTATTCACGATGTGGAGGGATTGACAATATACAATCAAAGTTAGCAATATACAGCAAGTAAGTAATTGGGTGTTGAATGCCAGTAGATCTGAATTTGTAAATTTTTAAATTGATTTAACCTGTTTAGAACGTGTATTGTTGAATTGTTTAATAAAATTACACACATAAGCTGGGCTGATATGCATAAAACCACTTTAAGTTCAAGGTATCAATGAAACTGGGTCTGCATGAAAAAATGACTTATCACATAATACCAGAACCTATGTTTACTGTTAGACGATAAGAAAATATAGCTGTAGGCCTAGTTGAAAGTCTTTACAAATTATTTATTCTTTTAATTTCTATTTGACTTTCTGGGTGCTTCTTAAGTGTTTTAAATGTTTGCGTTTTGTATGCTATAGTTAATTTTATAGACTGTTGTACGTCATTTGGTCTTTTTTAAGTTTTTGCCATGGCGTTGTCAGTATGTCTTCGACTGATAAGTTTTATATAATCTGCATCTCTTGTGCTGTATTTTGAAATGTATTACAATTGCTGCATCTTTACACATTCATCAATACATCAAAAAATATGAATAAAGCTTTCGTATATATAAAAATATGGAGATGTGGTACGATTGGTAATGAAACAACTATCCGCCAGTTCAATTCAAAAACCTGATATAATCAAATGTGACTTACTTACTTACTTTAGTCAGAGAGATCTTGAATCTGAATTCAAGGATACGAAGTGGTAAGGGTTTTGAGGTGGGAGCATGGGGGCCCGCCCCTTTTTTGGAAAATATTGGTTGATTATTTAGAGAATCACTGAAGCGGGCCCCCTCTTTATGCATGACAGTTAGTGCCTCCTTATGACATTTTTGATCCGCAACTGGTGAGGACTTCATAAAAAAATATTTAGTAAGTTTTTGTTTTGTGATAAATAATGTATTTACATTCACATAGACAGAAATAGGATAAAATAAACTACCGAAAGCTTAAGTCCACATAAGAGGGTATGGATGGGGTTAACAGAATAGAGAATAACGGGCAAACAATAAATATTAAAGAATAATGAAATGCTAAAATATGAGGAAAGAGAGTAATGAGCAAAAAGTGTAAGTTTTTAGAAATATAGCTAAAAAAAAATAAAGAACACAGAAAAAGAAGACCCCCCCCCCCCAAACCCCAAAGATCATCCTGATTTCAACTTTAACCAGAGACATATATATACTATAGTAGAATGTAGGACAGTAAGTCACAGGACAAAAAGTCACGGACGAAAAGTCACAGGACAAAAAGTCACAATTCAGTTTTGAGATTATTTTTCTCTGAACAAGAAAACACTAATTTTAAAAATAAATTTTTTATTTTTTATTGAACTATAATATATGAAGCAACTTTGTAATTAAAATGTATTCAATAAATATTCATGATGATCAAATAATTGTTATGATAACAAAATGTCAAAGTGGTTTGCCAAGAAATATATTATTTACATGATTAAAATTTAATAATTTTTCATTTATCAAGGCTTATGAACAATTTCCTGAACTTAAAAATGAATAAATGTAAAAAAAGAAATTATTTGAAGATCTTTTTCTTATATATTCAAACAATTGGCAATAAATTTTTTGTGACTTTTTGTTCTATCCAATTTGTGACTTTCTGTCCGTTTACCCTATTCATAGTATAGCCCAGTGCTTCTGTTAAAATAAAGTTCTGGTCATGGTTAAAATAATATGTCAGAATTTGTTTAGTTGTAAAAACAATTACCAAGTAATAATCCATTTAGAACTTCACCTCCGGCAAAATTCAGGTGATCGGAGGGCAATAAATTGCGTAATCGCACACCTGTGAATCCACAGTCACAACTCTATGGAAATAATGACCGGAAAATCGGACACACATAATTTCACTGTGTAATTTAGAAGCAAACTTTAGCAAAGAAATGTTTCTTGTAATATCATGATCATTACCAGATTTTACTTTTTAAATTAAAAGAAATGCCGAAAAAAAGAAAAAATATTTTCTCAATCAAATACATTAAAAAAAATACAACTATTTCAAGTAGTTTTTTAGAAAAAGAATTTATTTGATCTGAAATAAGTTTTCCTATTACTTTTCTTGATTAGCTATCGAGGTTATTCATCCCTTACTTGTCTACATGTTGTAGAATAATTATCGACGAGAATCTCATTCCGGGCCGCGTTTTTCAACGGGATTTCACGGAGTTGCCAATCTCTGTGTATATATGTCTCTGCTTTAACGCTGCCGGGTTATTTTGAGACAAAGTGCACGTATTAGTAGTCAGCCGAAACCACTAAGCGTTTTGCATCCATACGTTTTTTTTCGGGATACTGACTGCATAGTAAATTATCAATGTACTAGTTAATGTTCTCGAGGGATGACCCTATAACAGAGACATAATATGTGTATATATGTCTCTGCCCTATTACGTGTCAGTAACCTTCTCGACACGGTTCATTTTTACGGCGGCTCAGTTTTGTCTTAAGAATAAACATAATTGATAAGTTTCTTTCCCCTGCATTCCTCGATCGCACTTGTAAAATAGCACATGGGTCTCAAGACATTGGTACACTATACGTTACAACACTTGCCGTCAGTACTCAAAATTGGAAAGATATTAAATAAGAAGGTATAGAAAATTAATGCACACACACTAATGACTATTATCAACCACAGACATGATGTTTTTCTCAATTTGCCTAAATCATTATTCCGCAATACAACGAGGGTGAAAACCCACCACTTTGAACACAGTCACAGGAACCGGCATGCTGTGAATTTGAAAGTTTCCCAAATGAGTAACTATCCATTACTTTTCTAGTGTAAAGTTTTATTTAATACACATTTGATTTGAAATGGCATATCGGAGAGATATATAAACATATATCATAGGCTGATCCAGGGGGGGGGGGGGGGGGGGCCCGGGCCCCCCTTTCTTGGGAAAAATTTGGTTGATTATATAGGGATCACTGAAGCATGACTGGAGCCGGCCCTCCCTTATGAAATGTTCTGGATAAAATAAACCAACAAATTATCCAAAAGGTGAATAATACTTAATACTTACGACTAAGATTGATTATAAGTATACTTGAGTCGGTTTGAGAAAAAAAACAAACTTACAAGTAATCGTAAGTATACTGTATTGTACATGACTTAATTACTATCAATATTATTTGTAAGATTTTTGTGAAACTGACTGCTGAATTGTTTTTCCATGCTTATGGTACATCTAAGTCGTATGCTTTTTTTAAAACCACCTCCAGGGTATAATGTCTGCTGGCCCATAAAATCTGTTTGTAGATATAGGAAGATGTGGTATGAGTGCCAATGAGACAACTCTCCATCCAAGTCACAATTTATAAAAGTAAACCATTATAGGTCAAGGTACGGTCTTCAACACAGAGCCTAGTTTTTATCGAAAATGATAGTATATAGGTTAAATAATTTATTCATACATTTTTAATTGACTGACCTAGAATTATCATGATATTGAGGAATTTAAACCATTCCTATTTTTAAAAAGGGACAAAAATAAAATTTATATATAATAACAGGGTGATACAAATGAGAAAAACTCAAGAAATTGTTTTCAATTAAGATAAATACATGCAGTTAATAATGGTTTTCAATTGTTTTTTAAAGCAGAGGCAGATTTAGTTTAAAGTTGGAAAAAATTGTTTGTACCAACAAAAATAAATACACGAAGTTAATCCAGAATTTATATGTGTTTATAATTTTTTTTTATGTTTAGGTTGTCAGCCAGATGAAAAGAACAATGCAGTTCAAAAGTCAAAATGTGGATAAGCTGCGGTACAAGGTCCTACTTTTGCAGATTTTCATATTTTGCATGAATGAATTTGAAGTTTATATCATGGAGGGCAGAGAATTTTCCTGCTTCTGAAGGATAAATGTAAAACATCTTGTTCGGTAAGTTTTATGCTCTGTTTTGATAGTGTTCGTGCATCCATCTGTCTTTCTCTAAATTGTATTCACTTAAAGTTTTTGGTTACAGTTCACCATGAACTTAAGTTAGTAACTTGTGGTTTTACAGGTATATACTCAAAATTTAGTACTTTAAAATGTTCATGTATTTTTGTCGAGCCTGCAACTTTTGTCGCAGAAAGCTCAACATAGGGATAGTGATCCGGTGGTGGCTACGGCGGTGGCGTTAGCTAACTTCCTAAAAGCTTTATATTTTAGAAGGTTGGAAGACCTGGATGCTTCATACCTCATTTTCATGGTTCAGTGACTACTTGAAAAAAAAGTTCAGATTTTTTGTAATGTTAATTTCTCTCATATTATGAGTAATATGATAACTATATTTGGTATGTGCATACTTTGCAAGGTCCTCATGCTCGTCAGAGAGTTTTCACTTGACCTAGACCTCATTTCATGGATCAGTGAACAAGAACTTAGTCTTAGATGCATGATTTTTTTTATTAGTTGTTAGTGGCTTTGTACTAGCTGTCAGTAACTGCGAGTACTCTCAGATCTGTACTTAGTGTCTTTTTTTGTTGTTTGGATGTACGAGTACCCGGCCACGTCCACTTGTATTTGTAGTATTTGTATTTTTATCCATCTGATGAGTTAAGCCTCTTTCAACTGATTTTTATAGTTCGTTCTTATGTTGTACTGTTACACCACTGTCCCAGGTTAGGGGGAGGGTTGGGATCCCGCTAACATGTTTAACCCCGCCACATTCTGTATGTATGTGCCTGTCCCAAGTCAGGAGCCTGTAATTCAGTGGTTGTCGTTTGTTTATGTGTTACATATTTGTTTTTCGTTCATTTTTTGTACATAAATTAGGCCGTTAGTTTTTCGTTTGAATTGTTTTACATTGTCATTTCGGGGCCTTTTATAGCTGACTTCGCGGTATGGGCTTTGCTCATTGTTGAAGGCCGTACGGTGACCTATAGTTGTTAATTTCTATGTCATTTGGTCTCTTGTGGAGAGTTGTTGTCTCATTGGCAATCATACCACATCTTCTTTTTATACGACCGCAAAAAATTTTTTGTGGTTGTATATTGGTATGACGTTCAGGCTTCGTCGTCGTCGTCGTCCAAAGACATATTAGTTTTCGCACTCTAACTTTAGTTTAAGTGAATGGATCTCAATGAAATTTTACCATAAGGTTCAATACTACAATAGGAAGGTGGGGATTGATTTTGGGGGTAATGGTACCAACAGTTAAGGAATTAGGGGCCAAAAATAAGCATTTTTGTAACTTCCAGACATAACATGGATCTCTTTGACATTGTACCACAAGGTTCCATATCACAAAGGGAATGCTGGGATTGATTTTGGGGGTAATGTCTCCAAATTTTAGGAATTAACTAGGGGCCAAAAAGGGGCAAAAAACAAGCATTTTTCTAGTTTCATGACAATAACTTGTGTGCAAGTCTATGGATCTATCTGACATTGTATCACAAGGTTCCATATCACAAAGGGAATGCTGGGATTGATTTTGGGGGTAATTGCTTCCAAATTTTAGGAATTAGGGGCCAAAAAGGGGCAAAAAACAAGCATTTTTCTAGTTTCATGACAATAACTTGTGTGTAAGTGTATGGATCTTTATGAAATTGTACTACAAGGTTCCATATCACAAAGGGAAAGCTGGAATTGAGTTTGGGGGTAATTACCCAAAAATTATAGGAAAAAGGGGCCAAAAAGGGGCCAAAAATAAGCATTTTTCTAGTTTCCAGACAATAACTTGTGTTCAAGTATATGGATTTCTCTGAAATTGTACTGCAAGGTACCATACCACAAAGGGAAGGCTGGGATTGATTTTGGGGGTAATTCCCTCAAAATTTAGTAATTAGGGGCCATAAAAGGGCAAAAAACAAGCATTTTTCTAGTTTCAGGACAATAACTTGTGTGTAAGTGTATGGATCTTTATGAAATTGTACTGCAAGGTTCCATATCACAAAGGGAAAGCTGGGTTTGAGTTTGGGGGTAATTGCCCTAAACGTTTAGGAATTTGGGGCCAAACAGGGGCCAAAAAACAAGCATTTTTCTAGTTTCCAGACAATAACTTGTGTTCAAGTGTATGGATCTCTCTGAAATTGTACTGCAAGGTACCATACCACAAAGGGAAGGCTGGGATTGAGTTTGGGGATGATGAATCATAAGGGGGTTCAAAACATTTGGGGGGGGGGGGATTTTTTTTTCCTTTTTTTTTCTTTAAAATTTTCCATTTTAAATTGGTTATTTCTGATTTATATATAAAAGCAAATAATAATGATATGGTTTGAATAGGTAAATTAAAATTTTTTTAAGTTCTTAGACCACTTTCATTCTGTGTCAGAAACCTATGCTGTGTCAAATATTTAATTACAATCCAAATTCAGTGCTGTATCAAGCTTGAATGTTGTGTCCATACTTGCCCCAACTGTTCAGGGTTCGACCTCTGCGGTCGTATCAAGCTGCGCCCCAGCGGAGCATTTTATTTATATTTAAGGTTAAGTTTTGGTGGTCAAGTCCATATCTCAGATACTATAAGCAATAGGTCTAGTATATTCGGTGTATGGAAGGACTGTAAGGTGTACATGACCAACTGGCAGGTGTCATCTGACCTTGACCTCATTTTCATGGTTCAGTGGTTATAGTTAAGTTTTTATGTTTTGGTCTGTTTTTCTTATACTGTATGCAATAGGTCTACTATATTTGGTGTATGGAATGATTGTAAGGTGTACATGTCTAGCTGGCAGGTGTCATCCGACCTTGACCTCATTTTCATGGTCCAGTAGTCAAAGTTAAATTTTTGAGTTTTGGTCTTTTTTTTCTAATACTAAATGCAATAGGTCAACTATATTTGGTGTATGGAAACTTTTTATGATGTACATGTCAGCCTAACAGGTTTTATTTGTCCTTGACCTCATTTTCACGGTTCATTGCTCAGTGTTAAGTTTTTGTGTTTTGGTCTGTTTTTCTTAATCTATAAGCAATAGGTCAACTATATGTGTTGTATGGAAGGATTGTAAGCTGTACATGTCTGCCTGGCATGGTTCATCTGACCTTCACCTCATTTCTATGGTTCATTGGTCAATGTGTAGTTTTCTTGGTTAAGTCTGCTTCTTAGACTATGTTAGAAACTATAAGCAATAGGTCAACTGTATTTAGTATATTGAATGATTGTAAGGTGTACATATATTTCTTATCAGGTTTATATGACCTTGAATTCATTTTCTTGGATCATGTTGAGTTTATGTGATAGTTGTAGTAAAGCTTTATATTTAGGACTATCAACATGATATCAATGATTAGTAAAGAAGGCGCAACATTTCAGCGTGTGCACTCTTGTTTATACATTATACACCACATTTACTGTTTTTACCCTGATTTTATGGATTACTGAACATAGAAATGTCATAATGTGAAATTATAGTACATTCTTAGGTTAAAGTTTTAGGTTAAGGTACATAGCTTACCATGAAGTTGAATTTCATACACATGTTCATTATGTGTTGAATTTTTAAATTCAGTGCCAAACTAAGATTTTGAGCCTGATTACATGATTGACTAGACATTGACACATGCTAGTGTTTGCCAGGCATGTCGTCCTATACTAGGAATTTGTCCTGTACTATAAAGAACTTTAATAGTACTCGCTGAGTATGGAGTTTTTGTGAAAGTTTAATATTAGTGAGATTTTTGCATGACATCCTGTCAACTGCTTGTTGATCATGTTTATACATGTCTTAAATTTAATATCTGACACATTGGTGTTTTGTGAACTTGGAAATAAGTTATTTGATAGAATAATAATGTTTTGAGATTATCAAAATAAAAAATATCCCATTTTTACTATTAATGATTAAGTATTAAAAAAAAGAAGATTTAGGATATATGTATAACCATATATAAAAATGAGACAGCAACCATACAACACAAAAATAAGAAAAAAAACCTAATATAATTTTTTGTATCAATGTTATAATTTCCAACATGTCCAAAGAGTTCAATGTATTTTCTGATTGAAATAAAACACAAGTGGAACTCTTTCAGAACTTCAGAAGCTTAAAGAAGTGCTGTTTCTATTGTTGGCTTTCTGTATAATATATTGCAAATTCTTGTGAAAAATGGAATTTTATTGTATTTGCCTAAAGTTTTAACATTGATCTATATATATATATAACTGGGGAAAATACCTAAATGTTATAAAGAAGAATACATAAATTGATTGTTATATAATATATTATATTAGAATAGGAAGATGTGGTATGTTGCTAATTTGACAACTGTCCATCAGAGACCAAAGGATGTAGGAGGTTAGCAACTGATGACACTGGACAACCTTCAACAATCAGAAAAATCCATACCGCATAGCTATTTTTATTGAAAATCATATGTTATTGCTACATGTATGCAAACAATTTTTATTATCCATAACTTCGGATTTTATTGGTTCTTTTTCAGAAGGATTGAAATTCATCACTTAGAATAAAAGGAGAAAACACAGAAACAAGACCAAAATAAATTCAAAGACAAAAGTCAGATCAGTTATTATTTTCATCACTCAGTCATGAATTGAAGTTCTATTAGATATCTAAAGATATTAAAACCACAATAATGACAATGTTCTGTGCTGATGGCCAAAAAGTGGACTATACATTACGATCACACAATGCTGGATGATAAGAAACTATTAATTTTTTGGGTGGAGGGATATCCAAAAAAAAATTAGATTTATGTAAAAAGCTACTAGTATGTTAAGCCTATTAATAGCGTTTTCATTGATTTCAAATGGGAAAAAATTGTGTTGTGTTTGTTTCAAAAAAGTATTCTAGAATTCATAAATAAACATATATTGATACTTACATTATCTGCTTTGTTGTTTAAAAGTTTAGTTTTGAACAGTTATAGAACAATATAATTGCATTAACATTTCCAAGGAAAAAAAGATATTCAACTAAAAAGATTCATCTTAAAACAATTTACTACCAAACAGAATTCATTGTAACATACACATTTATTTACTGTATATTTATAATTTGAATCCCATATGATTTTATTTTGTCCCATGGGATATTAAAAATCCCATGGGATAGTTATAGTCCCATGGGATTTTTTTTGTCCCATGGGACAACAAATATCCCATGGGACTACAATTATCCCATGGGACCCAAAAAAATCCTATGGGATTTAACCAAAATCCCATGGGATAATGGTCAATCCCATGGGATTTGCCTTATCCCATGGGATATTGAAAATCCCATGTTTTTCTAAATCAAATTACAAAATATATGTAATAATAACAGCAGAAAAGCAATGAATTTATTGAATCCCATGTAATTCCGCACATTTTGGTTATATACATGACACTGTAGGTCTAAGGAGAGGCGGCGGCGGATTTGCAAATGAGTGTTTTGCAAATTAAAAGTGTCCAGTGTTTAATGACTACCATGTACATTAAAAAAAATAATGGTCAACTTTAGGTTAAATATGTTATAGTGTTAAGTGTGTTCTTTTATTTGTTTATTTTTTGACATTTAAGATAAGTGATTAACTTGTCTGGCAAAACTGAACTGTATTGTATATATATATATACATATATATTTGATGTGACGGCATGGTAGGAAAAATGACCATCCTTTACGGCAAACAAAAAAAAGCTGATCTGCAAGGTGTATATCATCTACTTGCCACTATACATCATGTACTGTACATGTGTTACAATGTACAACCCTAGATAACGCCGACGAGGAAGTGCATTACTCGACTAACGAAAGCTATATTTTTTATTTAGCCTATTTGTTCGAGTGGTCTAGGGAACTAGACTCAGTGCAGGCGGTGTTGCCACGATGACTCAGATGCAGGGGTTCCAATACCGCTGAGGGGAAAACAAAATGTGCTGACGCAAATTTGCAGCTATATATATTTAAATTAAGGTGTAAGCCCCGTATAGCTACAGGGTATTCAATGGAGAACGTCACATATTTAGACGTCTATGTATATTCGCTGAGGGAAGAACAAACAATATGATGATGACACAAATTGGCAGATCTAACATTGTTGGGCTAAATTTGAGACGAAGTATTTATATATTATGGTGTTTGCCCTGTATAACCACGGTTTATCCGATGGAGAACGTCTGTCTTAAAGTTATTATATTAATTTTATATATATATATATATATATATATATATATATATATATATATATATATACAAGTTATTATTTTGTTGACCAATTTCCCAAACTGTTAATTAGATATATGGTACACAATTCTTACTTGTCCATACATTCTGCAATCAGGTCAGCAGCTTTACCAGATCCTTTTAAAACTAAGACAGGTATACCTCGTTTTAATACCTTCACGACGTGATCCAACGTAGATAAATCTCCTTCGGCCACTATTACCAACACCGGGATCTTTATTTCTTTAAACAAATACGAATAATAAGAGATGTGGGGAAAGTGTACGACACGGCGACCAAAGGACAAAAATAACCAAAGAACAGTCAATGAAATTACTTCAGGAAAAGCACTTAACGCTAAAATAACGGTTCGATAGTTTACAAAAAAAAAGCAAATGGAAGTCTTTTTTGAATTTTGTGTCGTTTTGATTATACCGACTACAATAGATGAATAAAGAGAGACATAGGATCTACCCATATTCATGTTTTATAGATTATAGTATGTATGAAAGACTTTTGGCTTTTTGTAAAAGTACCAATAAGTCAAACGATTTCCGAGATGAATAAAATTCATGATAAATTATTTTGACAAACCCTCTGAGTTCATTTTTGTTAATGAAACTTGAATAAAATAAACCAGTGACAGACCTTCTCTTTGTAAGACTTTATTCCAGAGAAAGCTTCAATTGTTCATCTGATTTTATATATTGATAACTGACTATCTCTAAAAATATTTGCAGACGAGAAATGAAAAAGCAACGACAAAACTGCTTTATAGTTAATATCATTCTTAAAATCATTATGAAAATAAAACATACTCAAGTCATTTCCAAGTTCAACAAATGGAACATACTCCTTTGCAATACTTTCTAAAAGATCGGCATGAAAGATTTTGTATTCATCGGAGCCTTCACAATAAAGTTTATAATATTTTTCTTCCACCAACTGAAATTTAGAATAAGTAAATTATACGATAAAAATGACCAGTCAAAGCAGCGAAATGTACATACCGGTAAATTTTCTAAAAAAGACAACAGTAACATCGAGTATTCTTAGTTCGATATTTTGTCTGTGGTGTTTTGTTATTTGTTTTTGGTGATTCATTGTTATACTTTTGTAAGAAATAATTAATCAGTTGGATGTGTACTGATTGATACTTTATTCTGAGAGAGCATGATTTATTTATTATAGTTGTAAACGGCTTTGAACTAGCTTTTAGCAACTTGGAGTACTCCTAGATCAGTACTTCGTGTCTTCTGTTTTTATGCTTCATTTTTGGGTTTCGTATCAATCTGTTAAGCCATTTCCAACTGATGTTTACAGTTCGTTCTTATGTTGTACTGTTACAGTACTGACCAAGGTTAAAGGGAGGGTTGAGCGCTAACAATCATGTTAATCTCTCTACATTCGTTATGTTCTTGTCATAAGCCAGGAGCCTATAATTCAGTGGTTGTCTTTGGTTCATGTCCGTCATATTTGCTTTTTGTAATTGTTTTGTTACAAATCAGGCTGTCGGTTGTCTATTTTAAATGGTTTCAAATTTTGTCAACTCGGGGCCTTCGTGTTGATATACGATGATCATATTTAATTATCTTTCTTGGAAATTCTTCTGGAAAAATTCAGCATTTCTTAAACATCTCTTCAATTGAATACAACTTAAAAGTTCTTACCGCAGCACATATGATTTGTGTCTAACGAACATTATTTGAAAACCCCCTATACCTACGTCTGTTCGATGTCTTTCCACATTTTCAACTCTGTCCCTTATGTTTGGTTCATTCGGTCTCAAGCCGACTAGAGTGATGTTTGACTTTTCACTGACGCCTTCATTTAAGACACAGAAATCGTCAATTGCTTCCCATACTAAATTGCTCACTTTTTCTGTTGATCCTTTATATATCACCAAACAATCTACATACACAAAAAATTTTTACTAATATGAATATCAGGACAGGATGCAGATGAGCGGTATACATTTTACATTACAAAACAAATATTTATAATTGTTTTGCTTTAACGCCTCTTTCTTTTTTCCAAGTTACTTTTTAAACCTTGTCTGTTGATTTATTTTGTCAAATGTACATAGTATTTATACTTTTTTTTTGTAAAATAGAAATGCAGTCAAACTGTAAAATATCTTTAAACGTGAAATATATGGCTAAATTTACTTAATGAGGTAAGTTTCTTTTTCAAAGTTGTGTTGACAGAAGATATTGGGATTGAGGATTTATATTTGTTAAGTATAAAAGATAAAATTTCAAATAATTGTGATACATACCTTTTGCCCCTTTTGCTGTTTCCGTTAATCCTAACTGAAATACAGGCGTAAGCCATGGTTTAGGTACAAAGCTGCTAGAATCCCCTATTATAGAGAGGACCAGCCTAGGATATCTATCATTACCCAATCTAGTAAGGTCTCTTGTCAAATTTTCGACGTTTGGTTCGAGTAATAACGTTTCAGTCATCACACTAAAAAATATACAAGGTTTTCCATATCATGGTATGCTCTAATTGCATGCTTTAACACTGTTATAACATTTCAATATTGTTTTTATCGGTACTTAAAAAATGTACAAAATGATTTTGCTATTTATAAATCAAAATATAGCTAAATATTTATTCATATACAGTTATGAACACTTAAGATCCAGCATCTTAATGATACTTCTATTTTAGCATTGTATAAGGTCATGTTTTACTCAGACTGGTTTACACTCAATCCATCGGATGTGCACTGATAGATTTTATTCTGGGAAACATGATTTATTTATCAGTTTTAATTTGCTTTGAACTAGCTATCAGTAACTGCGAGTACTCTTATATCGGTTGGTGTGTCTTAAATCCTTTTGTTAATTGTTTTTCTATGATTTGTGTCGATCTGATTAGTCAATAGATATAAGAAGATGTGGTGTGAGTGCCAATGAGACAACCCTCCATCCAAGTCAAAATTTATAAAAGTAAACCATTATAGGTCAAAGTACGGTCTTCAACACGGAGTCTTAGCTCACACCGAACAGCAAGCTATAAAGGGCCCCAAAAATTACTAGTATAAAACCATTCAAACGGGAAAACCAAAGTCTAATCTATATAAAAAACGAGAAACGAGAAACACTTATGAACCACATCAACAAACGACAACTACTGAACATCAGATTCCTGACTTAGGACAGGTGCAAACAATTGCAGCGGGTTTAAACGTTTTAACGGTACCAAACCTTCACCCTTATCTGAAACAATAGTGTAACATCACAACATAGAAAAACACACTATAAAATATCAATTGAAATGGTTTAACTCAATCAAAAGACATATTAACACCGGTGAACATACACTGAACAAATAAATTTGATCTATGATACAATGCAAATACAAAATAAATA